TCTGGTTGGTGTATATTTATGGAGAAAGTTTCTCTTTTCCTCAGACTTTAGATTTCTGTAATGGAAACATTTGATTCCCTACTTTGTGACTTTTAGATCAAACTGTATTGTGTTGCACAGTGTCAGAATAACAGTTTATTTCTGCATTGATGGCTGGTCTTGTTTTCCGACCGCAGTGCGGTCAGCTTCCATCAGTCTTCCACGCTGAGAGGAAACTTTTCTTCCTTTGTTCTTCGCAGGATCAGTTCCAGTTCATCTACACAGCTGCCGTCTCTATGTTTGAACAATTCCTGCAGACATCTGCGGAGCAGGTCTACAGCAACCTACAGGTAAAACCTGAATATCTGTTTGTATTACAGTAACAACAAAATGAGTATGCTGGAGTCAGAGGAAGTAGACTGAGAGCAGCTGCAGAAAGAGGAAATGTTCTTTAACTCCGAGTTCCTCTTTGCAAATCCTCTGCTGCACGCAGTTTGACAGCAGAGCGCTCGGAGCACAAAGAGGCGGAAGGTAGGTCCACTCCAACAAACGTGGCTTATTTTTGTTGTGCTTTTCTTCTGTGTTACATCAGTTTTGTAGAGTTTTCTGAGTTTAACCTTGTTGTTTATGTCACTGCTTCAGTGGCATCTTAAGTCTCTGCTTTCACCTCGTGAGCTGAGAGCCATGGCTCGCTTTTCTGTTGGTGAACAAAAACGGGAATTGGTGATATTTAGAAACACTGGCACATTCCTTCTTTTATTTTATCTTGGACTTCATTTTAAACTGAGAGCCGTCTTTTAAGTTAGAATTGTACTTTAAAAACCGTTCTTGCAGAAATAATGTATTTGTGTTTAAGCTGACATAATAAAAATGAGTACAAATCCAGGCTGTATTCATCCAGCAGTGGGTCAAACAATAGAGACAAACTCTGATAGGAAGTAGCACACAGATGGTTCTGTTTATAGTAGCATAAATACAATTATTAATAAATAAATTTAATAAAATTAAATGTAAATGTAGTTCCAAATTTTCTCAAATGCCTTTATTTATTTATTTATTTATTTATTTATTTATCTATCTATACATTTAAGGCTGATGGGGTGATTTCCAGTGGGTCATATTGGCATTATTGACATAAATATTTTTCTTTATCTGGTACTACAGCTTC